AGTTTGCTTACCTCTCGCATCTCCGCCGTTATCGCTAATTACGGACCCGGTTTGCCTCGAATTAGGCAATAATACTCGCTAAATAGGTTATAATTGACACGCTACCGATACAACGTCGAAACCGCGACTCCGGACATCTTATTAATATCCTAGATACTAAATCCGCCTTCGAATAGGTGCTTTACCTTTACCTTAGTCTTTAGCGGCATTTTAGTGCTATAGCTATTACGACGCGCCGGCGGCGCCTTGCCTTACGACTTCCTACGTATTACTATTACTATAGTATTAAGAGATAGACAAACAACACCTTAGAGGGCTCTATACTATTAAAATAGCGACAACACGATATTTAGTAGTAGGCGGTATAAGGCTCTACGCAAGAGTCTTAGCATTCTTACGTAACCCGAGAAACCTAGTAATGCGAGTCTATATCGGCTACGCGAAACTCAAAGCCTCCTACACTTAGGGAGGCCTATATATACTAGATTGTTAATAGAGGTTCTTACCGCCTCCTCTACTAGCCTACCTCTACGACTAACTTTCTATGTTTGCCCTCGTACTATACTCGCTATTAACTCGCAAAATGCCTCTACGTATCGATCTCTCGCTATAGAGGGCTTAGATAACCTTATAAGTTAATAGCGGTACTATATAAGGCGAAATCCTACAGCACCTTATATAAGAGACTAGTTACTAGATAGCTCTTTCTACGCTTTATCGGAGGCTTAAGGAATAGGGGGTTAATTATAGCTATTACGCTTACTATAACCGAGTTAATAATATCGAGGTACTAAAGATCCGAGTCGTATATACCTTCTCCGCTTTACGCTTAACTAATAAAGAAGCGATTAAAGTACTAAAGATAGATAGATTTGATATTAGCTAGCGGAGATATTAACGGATACGTTAAGAGCTTAGATTAAAGAAGGTATTATCGCGAGATAGATAGATAGAAGCGGAAGAGGAGATAGTAGAGGTCTTATAAGAAGAGCTCGAGAAGTCTACGGTAGAGTCCTTCGGCCGATAGTACCTATATACCTATATTAGGTCTAAATACAACATTATTAGCAGAGATCGGCTATATCGTATAGCTTGCTTACTAAATCCTAAAGAGTTACGAGTTCGCCGCGAGCGGGCGCGAGAGTACTATAGAGCGATTGTTATACTAGGCCCTAGCTACGTAATATTAATAGATACTTACTATAAATTCGAGCATTAGGGGATATAGATCTATATAGCTATTAATATCTACTCGCGTTATATTATCTAGGTCTACGTAGGGATTACTAGCCGTATAGCTGTATCCGTACTCGCTTAATATATTATAACGATTAAGAATAGTAGTATAATGCTACAGATTATCCGATTAGACCGTAGGGCGGAAACGATTCTAGCCGCGGACGCTTACTATACGACTCGCCTTACGACTCGCCTTACGACTCGTAGTAACCCGGATCCGGAACTAGAACTAGAACTACTAGCTTTCGAAGACTGCTTTAAATACGGTACGAGTAAGATAAACTAGCGGATCGAGGTATAGTAGCGCTAGCAAGTACCTGTATTAAATAGCTAGAGGGGCTATTTTTACGAGTTGCTACGCGAGTTGCTGTGTAATGCTAAATTGCTAGCCGATCGGATTGCCTTCCTTGTAGTCCATATGCTGGTTATACGCTACAAAGTCCTCGAATTTATTTACCTCTAGAATAGCTATTAGATTAGGAAGTAGGCTAATCGACTGTACGTCGTACTAGGTATTCCGCATATTCTGTGCTATTATCTAGAGCTAAGCGGGCATTCTTATCAAGATATTCCTACACCTAATAGCGTACTTAATAATATAGAGTAAGACCTTTAAGGATTCGGTATATATTAGATTCTATAGTACTCGCTATAGACTCGCTATAGACTCGCTAATAGACTCGCTAATTCCTAGATCTTAAAGCCTACCTACCCGAGGCTACGCTTACTTAGTATTAGATAGCATTACAGACTCGCGGCTTCTCGTATCTAGTTAGTAGTAGCGAGAATAATAGCGATAGAGAGCGAGTTTACCGCTAGGTATACTTACTTCTTTAATAGCTAATTGCCGAGTATATAGCTATAGGGTTAGGGCCTAAACTAATAGAGTTGGACAAGCTATTAGTAGCTCGTAATTGGACGTTAGGTAGGGCGAATACCGGGGCCAGATTGATCAAGTTTGCAAATAATATATACTAATCTAAAATAAGGGATTTGCGAGCCGGCCGCGAGCCGGCCGCGAGTCGCTTATTTTAGTTCTATTTCCTTCTTAATCTTTTAATTCCTATCTTGTTCTACCTCTATACTACTACTATAGCCCTACCTTAGTTCTACTACTAACAATGCCTATCTAGGGTACCTTTTATACTATTACCGGCGCTAACTATATAACACTATTAAAAGTATACGCATTCTATAACTAACACAGTCCTAAGAACCCTAATCTACTAACCGAGCGATTTACACGCGAGCCGTTAGCAGTAGCTGTAGCTACTACCGCTGCTACTACTACGAGTTTAACTACGAGTACGGTACAAGGCTTTAATACGTTCCCTTCTCTACCTAAGGCGGCGAATACTATACGCAATGCTACTATTTAGTAGTATAAGCTAACTTCTCGACTAAATACTAGATCTCGGAGCCTCTCGCAACGTCTACTAATACCTATACAACTATTAAAGGAGCCAACAAAGGTATTATTTACCTACCGCTATTCAGTTTTTAGCTAGCGAGTAGAGGTTTCTCGTAGGGGTAGAGTCGACCTATAGGAATATAATTAGCTAGTCCTATAGACTTCTATTACTAATATCTAGTCTAATAAAGACTTCGAAGAAGCTAATATATTACTTATAGACTAGGTTCTTAGTCGGATTAACGCTAAGGACCTACCGTAAGGTAGCGTCTATTAGGTCGACGACTATACGGACTACTTCTTCTATACCAATTTCGATAATAAGCGCTTGTTACTAGATAAAGTCGCTTCTAAAGCACTCGGCCTAGGACTAGTTAAAGAGGCTCTTATACTCTTTAAACCGTAAACAGGAGGGAAAGCAATAAAGCAGCTACTAATCTATTACCTTAAAATCTGTATCTAATAATAGCGGAAGCTATAGCAATAAAGGCAACTAAAGCGGAAGCACCGGCTAAGTACTTCTACTACGAGTAGTAGCGCGAGTGCTATAGCGAGTTAGGACGGGGTTGTTCTATCTATAGAGATTAAGCAAGAGAAGCTATAGAAGGAGAAGGTAATCGATATAAAAAAGCCGCCTAAGTTTATTAACCTAAGCGGCGAGGACACCGCGAGGCTACCGCGAGTTACGCCTATTCTAAAAGAGTCGAGCGAAGCTAAGGACTAGCAAGATAGCTAGCAAGATAGCTAGCAATATAGCTAGTAAGATAGCTAGCAATATAGCTAGTAATATAGTTAGCAAGATAGCTAGTAAGATAAATAGAAAGATTATAAAGTTATATAGCTTAGGATACTTTAGGACTGTTTTTTTGAGATTTAATAGAGTTGAGGTAGAAAGGAAATAGAAATATAGACTCGTAGTAGACTCGTAGTAGACTCGCTATAGAACTCGCTATAGACTCGCTCCTTAAATATTATCTACTAGTAGCTCGCGATCGCTATTTAGCTATAGCTCCTCCTATATCGTACACACATCCTCAGACTTAATAATAGCCTTATTCTTAAGCCATTTAAACTACGAGAGGCAATATCCTTCTAACTTATCGAACTTAGCTTCTAATGCCTTAATCTTTGCCTCTAATATAGCATTCTTTACCTCTAATATAGCATTCTTTGCCTCTATAGCCTCGACTCGCGCCTATATCGCGGCTAGCTCGCTATTTCTATCCTCTTCTTTAACCTTAATCTCGCTAGTAGTATAGCTACTCTTGCCCTAATACTTATAATAAGCGTAGACTCTCTCTTCTTCGATATCTAGTACGCGATACTTATAGCCGTTATCGTAGCGAGTATAGAAGTAATATAGCGATAGTACTAGCTTTCCTTGCTTAGTCTCTATAATAATACCCGTAGCCGAGTATTTACGTAGTCTGTTTAATACTATCTTCTTCTTTTATAGATTTACGGTATCGTCGAGGAGGTCTTACTATATCTACTCGCTATAGTACTAGAAATCTTTCGTATTTATAGTCGTAGGACGTCGAAGGCTAGAGCGAGTTAGTAGCGAGTCTATAGCGATACGCCTCTTAGCTTATAATAAATATAGTCCTCCTACTAGTAATATAAGTACTAAATCGGGTACTAAAGTACCTATAGTAGCTATAAGAATAAGGTCGCGCGAAATACTAGTTATAGCTCGAAACGGTAGTAGTAGTAGTAACGCTACTATCGCTATCGCTATCGCTATCGCTATCGTAGTCGCTATCGCTATTAATAAGGGTATAGGAAGAACAATATAGCGAGTCTAGGCGCGAAGTTATAGCGAGTCTAAGTGAAGTTTGCGATATAGTAAGGAAGGCGCAATAATAGGAAGCGACAATAGACTAAAGTAAAGCCAAACCTCCATTAACAATCTGGTATATATAGAGCTCCGTCCCACACTCTCAGATTCAGAGCTCCAGCTCCAGGGACCCCTGCTCGCCGCTCGCCAAGACCATCTTCTTTGACGACCGTGTCACAAAACACTGCTGCTGCATCCATCTCCCACCACCCCAGGCCACCGCCACCTCTCCGCGTCCATATCGCCCTTCATCGCCGCTAGCATCGACAAGTCCTGGCGAGATCTGCCGCTCCGCTGCGCACCTCAGCCTTGCCACCGCTGTTGATTACCAACGACATCGTTGACGCCGACGCCGGGGGACCTTCTAGCTGTCGTGTGATAGCTCGCATAGCATAGCACATATACCCGCAAGAGCTGCACCTTGCGCCCCCTCGTCAGCATTCGATTCGGCAGCTGGGCCACCACACCACCAATGAGCCGCTCAGCATACAACACACCACGCTTAATACCATCATGACGGCCGAGGGCCCAGTACACGAGCGCGTGTCCGGGCTGTCTGGCCATCATGTGAATGGGCATCACAGCGCCAGCCACGACCACGACTCTCGTGCAACTTCGCCCGGCATCGGCGGATATCGCGCCCAGCATGGCGACAGCGATGGCGATGCGGCCATTGAGCGCTTGGGCCGGACAAGGCCACGCGTGTTTCCATACACCAAATATCTGCCCTACGAGGCTGAGTCAAGAGAGCAGAGAGAAGCAGACATGGACGAGATGATCAAGCATCTCTACGTGGCTGTTGCAGCGGGAGATTTCTTGCCAGGCGCTGTGCATTGGACCAAAGAGATCAGAGGTTGGATGAGCCTGAAGTTCGACCTCACCAAGCAGCAGCGCATATCGCTGGTGAAGCTGTACTACGAGCTTGCCCTCGCACCTGGCCTCGAATATAGCGTGTCCGAGAGATTCGCAAGCATGTTCATGGTCCTCACCAAGCGCAAGCACTATCTGCAACCTGGCAAGGATCTGGTGCTTGACTGGCGCCCGCTGTACAAGGAGCTCAAGATATTTGTGCTGCCCTCAGAGCACAGCACGCAAAACACTTACAGCAGCAAGCGTAATGTGCGCACGCTGACCAAGCTGTGCACCTTTGCCCAGCTCTTCTTCGATCCAACCGAGATTCCCGCCATGTTTGAAGACTTCCTGCCCTACTTCAGCATGTCATTCTCCGAGCAAGCATTTGTGGTCTTTGGCCTGTTCAACCTCATGCTCCCGACTGCAGCGCCACCCGCCCACAACGAAAAGCTGCAGCCACAATACTACCTTCCTACATTCTTTCACTTGTGGTCCATCGTCAACCGATCTATGACGATTGATATGCGTGTTCTCGACATTTTCTCGAGACAGGCAAGAGATTGTCTAGGCGCTGAACAGGTCCCATTTGGTCCATGCGGTATTTTCACTGAGGAGCAGTCCTCGCTGATCTTCACAGCAGTACTGAGACTTCTCGAAATCCCGGTAGGCCAGGCTAGCACCCCATATAGTCCTGCCGTGGACCATGGCGCCGGCTCAGCTCTCTTCCTAGACCGAGATCCTCGAAAGCATCCTGTATCCCACAGCATCGCTCGCTGGATAGTCATGTCCATATCACCCAAATGTCTTGAAGCCGACAATGGGAAGTCAATACTTCACCAGCTCGAGGCTCTGATCCAAGGCATCGAGACTTTCTTCCACCCTTCCAATTCGGGTGGATGGACTAAGGCTCTTGCTCAGCTGGTGTATTACCTGGCAGATTTCTTCGTCATGCGATGGAATCGTGAGCAAAGCGGCGAGTACGAGATACCCGAGGACCGCAGGTTGAACGATGAAGTGAAGAGACGTTTCGTTCTCTGCTTGCGCGACGTTGTTTTCATGGGAATATATGCCAAGAGCGGCACAGCCATGAACTACTCACTCTCTACTCTGCAAAGTCTTGCATTCTTGGAGCCGAATCTCATCCTTCCTGGCGCACTACAGCGTATCTATCCAGCTATGCAAGGTCTAGTTGAGGTGCATCGGACCATCTCCTCTATCCGAGCACTTCAAATGCTGAGCAGGATCATCGCAAGAACTAAGGGCTTCCGGTGCCATTTGACCACACTGCTCGGCCTTGCACTTCCCGGTGTGGATGCAAACGATCTTGACAAGACGATGCACAGCTTGGCCTTCATTCAATCGGTGTGCTATAATATCCCATTATACGATTTGACGAAAGCGCCGAAGCGAGAGAAGAGCGAGCTCAATGGGGACTATGAAATGGTCGATCCCGACTCACCTCCCGCTGCAAGCTCTGGTACAGGGATTGCTGTTGAGTGGGTAACAGCTCAAGTCGCGCGATTTGAGGAAGCCGGACCGCTGCTTGAGGTCGACTATTCTCAGGAGTTGAGCGATGAAGACGAAGAACTCATCCTGAAGTCTTCCACGGCTGGCTTTGCAGAGTTCCTCACCAGCTTTCTTGGCAGAGTGTTTACGCTCTTGCAAAACCTCCCAGATGCTGCGAGAGTCAAGAGCGGCAGTCCTGAGGAGAATGTCGTCAATACTCTGCCAGCCACCTTCAGTCCTCTGCTTGCCAGCTTGAGCCCTGAGCTTTACGACATTGCCCTGGAGCACATCGCGCGTTTCATCTCGAATCACGTCGTGCATCAAGCTCGTGATGCCATGGCATTCATCTGCAATGCACTGGTCAAGATCTCGCCAAAGAAGGCTCTCAACAGACTACTTCCAGAGCTCATTACGAGCATTCGGACGGAGATCAGTGAGAATGGTGCTGGTTCAACGCGCACAACTGGAAGCGAGATCCTTCCTCGGGACCGAGCGCTTGTCTGGCATGTCTCGTTGCTCAGCATGTGTGTCGTTCACGTTGGCAGTGATGTGCTTGACTTCAAAGATGACCTCTATGAAATCGCCAACTATATGCAGGATACCTGCAAAGGCATACCACTTGTGCATGTATCGAATTTTGTGCATCATCTTCTCTTGAACTTGACAGTCACGTACACCATGGATTTCAACCTCTTCAACAAATCAGACCTGGAGCGCGGCCTCACAACGGCGAGTTGGAGTAAGACGACCGACCCATCCGACCTGGACATCCAATGGCACGTGCCTAAGCAAGAAGAACTAGACTTCGCGGTCAAGATCTTCGAGGCTCAAGGAGGACGAGCTTTGAAGGCATTGAACGAGCTAGTGTCTGACACTGCACCGATCAAGAGAGATGGCGTCGGCAAAGACTGGTCAGATGAGATGTCGCGCAATCTGGTCCTTCTACGACTTGTCATTAGCGGCATGTCACGACTCTTCCGCTCAGACGACGGCTCGGTCACTCCCTACGTCTTCGTCAGCCATACTCCAACCAGCACAGATGACAATGTGGAGATTGACCCTGCTGCTTTCGAGGACTCTGATAGTGCCAATGATAGCGCCGTCGATCTCAGTGAGCCTGACGATGAAAGAGTCAAGCGCTCATTCCAATACCCGACGGGCTATCCACTTGAGATAGGCAGTCCGCAGTACGAAGCTGTTCATCAGATGCGCAAGACTGCCGGGGAGACGCTCCACAAAGTGCACACATTCCTGATCAAGAACCAAGAGGACGACGTTCCTTGCTTCAACTCGCTGTACACTGCCTACAGGTCGTGGTTTGTCGATATCGGTATCGAACGCTCAGCCCACGTGTTGGATAGGCTCACGCGACTCCTGAGTGCAGACATTCATCCTTTCAAGTTCTCCGGCACACGCAAGCAATATCCTAGACCGCTGCTGGTGCGACGTGCCAATCTTCATCATTTCCAACGATTACGCTTTAACGAGCATCCTCGAGCAGCATCAGAGCTTGACAAGACACTATTGCTCGACTTGGCGCAGTCAAGCACTTCGGTCTACACCGACATTCGTCGCACTGCTCAATCGGCAGGCGAGCAAGCTATGAAGAGCATTGTTGGCGCAAAGCCGTTGATCATACCACCACTTCTTGACGCCCTCGAGCAGGCACTGAGGAAGAATGACCACCCACGTATCAAGGGTGCCGTCTTCACTCTGCTATTTGGCAGCCTCGCAAAGCCGATTGGTCGCAACTGGAAGTTTGCACCACGCATGATACGGCTCTTCATCCAGGTTTCGGAAGCCGACAGACCCAGCATTCAAAAGCTAGTTGGCCAATCTAGCTTCACTATCCAAGACATGACTAAAGCCATGGACCGGATGGTCATCCTGGATGAGAACACACTTAATGGCATTTGGCCAGATGATGCTCTGCTACCAACGAGAACCATTGCTCGGACAATGGAAGATGCGCAAGCACTCATTCCACCAAAGCGAGATAAAATCAAGAGGCGACGTGCTGTGGTCGAACAGTGCAAGGCAGAACTGGCCGTAGAGCTCATTGAGAGTGTCAAGAACAGCCATTGGAAGAAGGCGAGCAGGACCGCGGTCATGGCGATAGGATTGGATTATCGATTCGAGACTATCGCCTCCGAGGGTATGCTGGACCTGGTGGTCAAGGGCGTGATTGATCCTCACCCTTCGCTGCGAAGTTTGTACTCAACATCGCTCAATGCCATCTTCGGCTTGGCCCAGACGAGAGCGTTGGTCGGGCACAAGTACGAAAACTACCTGCTTGACGATCAGCGCGATCCTGACGAGGTATCTGTTCCCACCGCCCGCGATGACTCCACGTGGACTCAACGTTATCTCGAATCTTTCGCCAAGCCTGAAGCCGAAGCCTATATCGACGCTGACTACCCTGGATGGCTCGTTTGGCAGAAGACCATGCGCGGTTTCCATACTGGTCCAAGCCAATTGCAGTATGATGAGACCGAGCAGAAGGTGCGCAAGAAGATGGGCTCTCACATCGATCGCAACTGGCTATCTACCTATTTCGGCTACATGAAACAGGAACCTCGAGAGAATGCGGATAGGTTCCGTATGTCCAGCTCCATGATTGTTGCATATGCAATGGACTTGATGGCGGACGGCCTGACACCTGCGACATTCGAGGATTTCAAAGATCTCACTCAAGCTGTTTATGGTGATGGGTCAGACAAGCACCAACACCGAGCAATCGCCGAGATCATGGGAGCCATGCTGTCCAGCTCCGAGGACTTCGAGCATGAGCTCAGGACACAGATCTGGGACTTCGCGTTCCCAATTGTGAGACGGATCTTCAGCGAGGGTCTAACTCCAGAGAACACGTCCTACTGGTCTACCTTTGTAACCTTGATCGTTGGTGGTAAAGATCCTCGGCGAGCATGGCCTTTGGTCGACTGGCTTGCAGGGTTTAGACTGGACATGGATGCCAATACGGCGTTCAAGGAAAGCTCAAAGATCTCTTTGCTGCAGCTGGTCATCGGGGCAGTGGGATGGCACTTCCAGCTCCACCGTGCGGTGGTGGAGAACTTCTTGGAGCACCTCAACCATCCGTACAAAGCTGTGAGAGAAGTGATGGGCAATACGTTGGCTACCATCTTCCGCACACGATATCATGAGTCGTACAAGGATGTGCCTCAGTTGTTAGAGACGCAGCGAAATGCGTCCTCTGTCGGCACGAGACCCTATCAGCCCACCGAAGAATACACGGCCATTGTCAAGAACACATTCGAACGGCTTGAGAAGTGGCGCCAAGAGCGTCCCGTCGGTACACAGCAGCCAACGCCATACACGCAAGCCAGCAAGACGGTGTTGTTGTGGCTTGATGGCACTCTTGGCTCCTATGACTGTACGACTATGGTGCCATTCTTCCCTGGCGAGGTCATGCAGCAACTCCTACATATGATGGACATCAAGGAGGATCCCGAGCTCCAATCTCTGGCATACCATGTCTACCGGCATTTGCCAAATGTGCCGCATCGTCAAGGCGAGGACAAGGCCTTTGTTGCCTCGCTTGTCAAGATTGGCACCGAATCTACATCCTGGCATCAGCGCTTAAGGGTACTCATCAACATGCAGATCATCTACTTCCGTAACCTCTTCCTCATGCCGGTCGAGCAAGCCGAAGCCCTCTTCCACTGCGTACGGGAGATGCTGCACGATACCCAGCTGGAGGTGCGCCTCGGTGCCGCCGCCACACTGTCTGGTATGGTCCGATGCTCTCCTATCGACTTCCGCAACAAGAAAATTGAAGATCTCAAGTCGCACTTTGCAAATCTACTTCGAAAGAATCCGTTACCAAAGAAACCAAAAGGCAACCTCAGAGCGGAAGGCACCAGCACGCCTACACAGGAACAGAACAAACTCGTCCTCACTCGGCATGCTGCAGTCCTTGGCTTGGGCAGCTTAGTGCAGGCATTTCCATACACGTCTCCGCCACCCGAGTGGCTACCTGAAGTTCTCGCCACGCTTGCAGGACGTGCGGCCAGCGATCCTGGCATGGTTGGAAAGAGCGTCAAGACTGTGCTGAGCGACTTTAAAAAGACCAGACAGGACACTTGGCACGTTGACGTAAAGGTGAGTCGAACGCAAACAATATATTCGTGGACCATACACTGACATTTCGCAGGCATTCAAGCCAGAACAGCTCGAGGACTTGGAAGGTGTCCTCTGGAAGAGCTATTTCGCATGAACAATCACGAACCATGACATGACACGGAAAGAGTTATAATGAAACGGCTTGGCTGGTACATGGCTGCGTTCGCATTTCACCAGCAAGGCTTTCTCGGTTGTATATTACTGCGTTCAAGCGGCACGAGGCATCGGCGTAGGCATATGGGACACCTAGCATCTGTAGAATACAGTCAGTCCACGGCGCAGACGTGGGCTTGACACAATCGATAAATGGATCGAGCTGTTGTGCAAAACAGTTTCGTCCCCGTAATAATGTCGCATTCTTTATAGTACGATACGTGGTAATATCAAGGCATTTTATATTGCATTACTATTACAAAACCTCTACTAGCCTTAGTTCTATAGATAAGCCTTACTACTAATAGACAGGCTAATAGTCTTATCTTAAGTTCTAAGAAGCTAATTCTTATCTTTTTACATAGTATATAGTATAGTAGATAACTAACTCTAGGGACGGCCCGGGGATAGGATAGACTAAGTGCGTATATAGTAATTATACTACCTTTACTATAGTTTATATAGGTATAGAACTACTATATACCTTATATCTCTTTTAAAGTTTTAGTAGTATTATTATACCTATCCTAAGGAAGAGCTTCTAAGCCCTACGAATACTATCGTATCTAGGTTAATAAGAGAAGCGGATTATATCTATACTAAGTAGAAATCTACTACTCGGGTAGCGGGAGATAAGAGTCGGTTCTTAATAGAGAGTCTATATCGAATATATAGAAAGGAGCTACTAGTAGGGCTTAGGAAAGTAGCTAAGGATAGAAGTTTACTAGTACTATCTATCCTAGTATAGGCTCTATTACTAACTATACTATATCGAGGACAAAGTATTAGTTTTCTAGCTATAATTACTATATAAATATATACGATTACTAGTTATAATACTTAGTCTGTAATATAGTCTAACCTCTATACTTAATACCGTTAGGTCTATAGTAAAAATACCTTACTTATACTTTATAGTCTATACTTGCTATCGCTACTACTATCGCTCTCGTCTTAGCTATTTTTATAAGTAATCCCGGTAATATATATATATAGTTATATATAATTTAGTACTTATAGAGGCAAAGGAGTGTTACGGATCTGATTGGTTAGAGTCCTTACATAATCTTAGAGCGACGCTAAGACTAGTAGGCTAAGCTGTCGCTCTATCTTACTAGGAGCGATAGGAGCGGTCGAGAGCGACAGCGTCGCTTACGTCGCTTACGACTATAGACAAGATATCTCCTTTGTATTTAGGAACGCCGGAATGCCCTTATAGCTCGAGGCGTTCAACTTATATTACCTACTTACTAATTGGAATTACCTTTGTACTAATTATTCTGTCTCTACCTCCCGCTTGTATTAGCCTCTCTAAAGAAGCCTCGGCTTATACGTAATAAGAAGTCACTTAACGATCTGTCGCGAGTAACCGTAATACTTTGAACGCCCTTAGGATAAGTGCCTTATTATAAGTCGGAAGGGGAACTCCCGCCCCTAGCGAGATAGGTAGTACTCGACGTACTACCTCTAGTGCTAGTAATATACTAGGAACCTATGCCGGAAACGATTCTCTTAAGATCGGAAAGCTAGACTTTTATTACGGCGACCGAGACAAGTTCGATACCTAGGTTAGCTAGATAGATATATATTTTATATTTAACTAGGTTTAAGATAACTTAAAGCTAGTCTTCGCAACGACGTTTATGCGAGGCAGGGCTTAGCATTAGGTTAAACTATTTCTTAGGACCTATCTAGATAGTAACGGGACCGACAATTCGGATAGAATCTTCGTAAGCTACGAAAATCTTAAGCGTACGATAAAGAAGGTCTTTAGATCTTCTAACGAAGTTGCTACCGCAGTTAGGGTTATCTAACATTTAACTTAGAAGGGGTTATATACCGATTACGCCGCTAAATTTTAGGAATACGCCTAACTTACGGATTAGGACGACGAAGCTCTTATAATAATATATCGGCGAGGTCTTAAGGACAACGTTAAAGACGAGCTTATACGCGACGGTAGAAAAATGGATAATATAGGAACATTAGTTAAGGTTACGATCGATCTCGACGATAGGCTCTACGAACGAGCTTTCGAACAACGTTACGATTCTAAGACTTCTAGAAAAGCTAGTTATACTCCTAGATACGATAATAGACGAAACTATAGTACCTACGATAAACTAAAAGGGAACAACTACTACGGTACGTAACTAATAGAGCTAGACGCTACCTAGAAGGGTCGAGCAATTAAAGGAAGAAAAGGCAAGAGTTCGCCTAAGAAAGTAGGAAGATTAACTTACTATACGTATAGTAAGGAAGGCTATATAGTACGGAACTACCGCGGCAAGAATATAGTGCGACGCGAACAGTTTAATATAATATAACGAAAGGACTCGGGTAGAGAAGGCTACCGAATAGTAGTAGAGCTATACTCTATTAATAACGCGCCGAGGACCTACGTAGAGGTCGTAAAGAAAGAGCTACGACAAATCTGTATAATAGTACGACGACAAGAACCCGTATATAGAACCCTTTACTAGAGATTCTATTACGACGACTAATACCAAATTTATTATTCTGCTAAAGTAGAAGTAGGATTTTTCCCTTAGATTAGGCGACTCGTACGAGAAGATGCGAAATCCTAGTTAGAAGAAGAAACGATTGATAAATCTTGCTTAAATACCGACGATAAAGAAAACCGAGATCCGGAAGCTTTATTCCCTCCCGGGGAGGAGTTAGGAGCTATCCTAGAAGTACCGGAGTCCCTTTAGTAAGAGGAGGAATAGTAAGAAGATTTAGAAGGAAGTCTAGATACCGAGGAAGAAACTACGAATAAAGAAAGTAAAGACGAATTCGGGATTAACGACGATACGATCCTTACATTTATAATAGATATACCTATAGTAGCGCGAACAATCGCCTTACATCTAGTACGTAAATACGAGGAAATGTTTCTAAAGGTTAACGGATAACGGAGGGTCGATCCTATCTAATTTGATTATTTCTAGATAAGCTTACAGGCAAAATTCTAGAATTACTCCCGGATATCTATAGACTATACGTACTATAACTTCATTACGGAGCGAGTACCGATAGGAAGTATAATTACGCCCTACGGATACGTCCTACCCGACGAAAGGACGATTATTACTTAAGATATACGTTAGACGGTCTAGCGATTAAATTAGCAATACCGAAAGGCTATAGCAGCGTAGGGACAAGATGTATACAACGATACCCTCGAGGAAAAATTATATACCGAAGAAGCACGAACGGTAGGACTACGGATCCGTAACTAGTTAGAATAACGTTAGGCTACTAATTAGTCGGGAAACGGACTAACTCTCTAGATTAGAGCGTTCTAAGAGAGTTCCTTAATACCGAAAGCGCTTAAGCATTAATAGCAGTCTTCCGTACAAAAGTTATCGTTAACGGGTACCCGACGAGTACATTAATAGATTCCGGAGCGAGCGGGAACTTTACCTCCGAATTATTCGTTAAAAGCCGAGGGATCGTAACCCGAAGCAGAAGAGAAGGAGCGTATAAACTTATAGCAGTAGATAGGTCACCGCTACCTAGTATAGAACGAGAAACGATACCGTTACTACTAGCTATCTAATAGCACTACGAGGAGATTGTCTTAGATATTACTAATATAGCTAGTTATAACATTATATTAGGTATACCTTAGTTGAGAAAGTATAACCCGGTCGTAGACTAGAGAAAAGGAGTACTTACATTTAAGGAATGCGACTGTATAATCGGCATTTAACCTATATAGCGGTAGCGTTCGCAGGTAGATAAGATTAATAAACGTAGGGCGATTCGTAAGACGTTTACGTCGATAGGAATTACGGAGAACCGTATTCAACCCGGATCGATACTACCGTTAGGTTAGGAGGGTTATAACAATAATTACGGGAAGGATAGAAGTTATACACTATCGAAGAATAAAACTAGAATCTCGGACCTAGACATTCCTAAAGAGTATAGTAAGTAGAAGCGACTCTTTAAAGAGGAGAGAGGCAAGGTAGCCTTACCTAAACACTAACTATAGGATTATAAAATACACTTACAGCCTAGGAAAGAGCCTCTATAGGGACCCTTATACGCAATATCTAAGAAAGAGCTTAAAACCCTAGACAAGTAGCTAAAAGAGAAATTAGAAAAAGGCTAGATATAGAAGTCGACATCCTCGGCAGCCTTACTAGTAATATTCGTTCCGAAAGCCGGATTAGACGAAGGACGGCTAGTAGTCGATTTTAGACGACTTAACGATATTACAATTAAGAATCGGTACCTACTACCGAATATCGAAGAAATGCAAGACCGATTAACTAGATTAGACTAGTATACGAAGATTGACCTACGCGATACGTTTTATACAATACGTATAGCAGCTAGATACGAATAGATAACAGTATTCCGAACAAGATATAGGCTTTACGAATTCTTAGTTATACCTATAGGACTTACAAATGCCCTAGCGTTATATTAAGACCTTGTAAACGAAGTCCTCCGAGACCTTCTAGATATATACGTTATCGCATATATAGACGATATCTTAGTCTATACTAAAGGAGCTCTCGCGGACTATATACGAATAGTGTAGGACGTCTTTGAACGATTTACTTAAGTAGGATTTAAGACTATACCTAAGAAATGCGAATTCTATAAGAAGGAAGTCAAATTCCTAGGATTTATTATTAGCACTATAGGAATCAGGATCGATCTAGAAAAAACCAAGTCAATATAGGAATAGCTAACGCCTATATACGTTAAAGACGTACAATCATTCCTAGGATTAGTTAACTATAATAGGAAATTTATCGAGGGCTATTCTAAGACAGCGGCACCCCTTACGGAGCTTATAAAGAAAGACAAGAAATAGAACTAGAGTACGAAGGAAGACGAAGCGTTTAGGCAGCTAAAGAAGCAATGCGTTTCTGCGCTAACGCTACGATTATTCGATAGGAGTAAGGCGGTCTAGATAGAAACAGACGCGTCGGATAGGGCTATAGGAGTATGCCTTATATAGGAGCATAACGGGAAACGATACCCGGTAGCCTATTACTCGAGAAAGATATTACCCGCGGAATAGAACTACGATATCTATAATAAGGAGCTACTTGCAATAGTTGTATTACTATAATACTAGCGAGTATACGCGGAAGGAGTACTAAGTCTTACGATTCTTTCTAATTATAAGAATCTAACTTACTTCACTACGACTAAAGTACTAACCCGAAGATAGGCCCGCTAGTCGGAGCTACTAAGGTAGTACAAGTTCGAAATCCGCTATACCCTAGGACGCGAGAACGGACGAGCCGACGTACTAAGCCGCCGTAGCGACTATATAGAGGGTTACGAACTAGTATAGCAGCAGATATTAAAAGCAAACTAAGACGGAAGCCTTAGTGCTAATATAAAAGAATTCAACTATATTATACGAGTTCTTTAGGATATAGAAGAATAGTTTCCAATCGAATACGGGAAATACTAAGTACCTAAGGAACGAGTTACGGAGTGTATACGACAACACTACGACGGACTAGAAAATAGATACCCTAGAGTTTCAAAAACAATAGAACTAGTTAAGCGAAGCTTCGGATTCCTATATATACGACAACGAGTTCTAGAATATATTAAGAAATGTCTACAATGTTAGCGTAATAAGGCTAATAGACACGCTAGATATAGACATATCTAATTTAGGACGCTACTAGATAAACTATAGGACGAGGTTATAATAGACTTTATTACGAAACTACCGAAGTCTAAGGATCCGGTTATAGGATATAGCTACGACATAATACTTATTATAGTCGATAGGCTTACGAAATACGTATACTTTATTCCTACTAACGAAGCAAGTACGGCAGAGCAACTCGGATACCTCGTACTAGATAGACTTGTACGATACTACGGATTTCTAAAGACCTATATTACGGACAGAGACAAGCTCTTTACGTCAAACTACTAGAAGACGCTTACAGCGACGCTTAGAATTAAGCACAAGCTATTAACGGTATACTATCTATAGATAGACGGCTAAACGGAAGTTAAGAATTAGGCCTTAGAGGTATACTTACGGCACTACGTTAATTACGCACAAAACAATTAGGTATCGCTATTGCCTATAGTATAACTTATACTGAATAACTAACAATCTAAGACTACGAAAGAGACACTATTCTTCGCTAATTTTAGGAAACATCCGTAGCTGTTCGGGGAACAGTATTTATAGCATCTATACGCGGATAAAGCGATAGGCGCTTTAGAAGACTTAAAGCAGGTATATAAAGAATTGTAAAGGGCAATTGCCGAATCTCAAGAAAAGATTACGGGACTATATAATGCTAAACGAAAAATGGCACCTTAGCTAAAAAAGGGGGATAAGGTCTACCTCCTAACAAAGAATCTAAAAACCCGGAGATCGACTAAGAAACTAGACTACGTTAAAGTCGGGCTATTTCTAATTGATAAGCCTAAAGGACTAATTAATTACCGACTTAAACTACCGGACGACGCGAAAATCTACCTAGTATTCTATATCTCTATACTAGAACCTGCAGACGCCGAAACACCGTATTAAGAAACATTTTACTTCCAACCTAAGGAAGAAAATGAGTTTAAAGTCGAAAAGATCCTAGATTAGTAAGGTTAGAAATACCTTATTAAATAGAAAGGATACCTATATTTAGAAAACACCTAGGAACTAAAAGAAAACCTATAGAACTGTTAGCAGATAATCAAAAAATTTCAAAACCGAACAAAAAAGAAATAACTAGTATAGGAATTAAACCTACGACCTCTTAGACCCTATCGATTATAGCGCCTTAGAGTTCTCAACGACCTAGGGTAGTATAGCTCGAGGAGCGGGGACTCTAATAGCGTACCTAGCAACTATGTCTTTTATAGCTAAGAATTATACTACTAGACTAACTAGCTAGAAGATAAAATAGATAGGAAACATTAAAAATATATACCTTTAGGATACTAGACTCTCGGTACTCCTACTAGGAATTTTAGAGGTAGGCTAGGACGTCCTATCTAGACGACTCTAGTTATAAGGCGACATCTATAATCGGCTATCTAGGGGAAACGGCTCGTTAGTAGGTAACGAGAATATTATCGGCTCTATAGGCGAAGAGCCTAGCTCTCTTTCGAGCTCCTCCGCCTATTAAATAGAGGCTTCCTCTACCTTAAAAGCTTATACCTCCCGATCTTCCTTTATACGTAGCGACTTACGTAAGCGACGGACCTTTGCGCGATACTCGAAAAGCTTCCGCGTAAAAAGGTCCTCCTCCTTTTCGGCCGCTTCGAGATCTTTAGCTATCTTTAGGCGCGCCTTCCGGATTTTTTTATACTCTATACGAGTAACTTGTATATTATAGGACTAGCCGTATAGGGCGCACTCGGAGCAGCGACCGGAACGGAGATCGACTTTATAGGATTTATCGGCCTATTCGTAATAAAAATAGCGGATCGGTATTTCGAGGCAGTCGGTAAGGATATTATTTACGATATTTTCCTTACGCTAACGAGAAGACAAGTCCTTTAATAACTTTAGTATAGTAAAGAAGTTGGAATTAGAAAGTTCCGGAATAAGGGACTATCCCGCTTAAGGAGGGGGATAGTATTACGGATCTAATTAGTTAGAGTCCTTATATAATCTTAGAGCGACGCTAAGACTAGTAGGCTAAGCTATCGCTCTATCTTATTAGGAGCGATAGGAGCGGTCGAGAGCGATAGCGTCGCTTACGTCGCTTACGACTATAGACAAGATATCTCCTTTATATTTAGGAACGCCGGAATGCCCTTATAGCTCGAGGCGTTTAACTTATATTACCTACTTACTAATTAGAATTACCTTTGTACTAATTATTCTGTCTCTGCCTCCCGCTTGTATTAGCCTCTCTAAAGAAGCCTCGGCTTACACGTAATAAGAAGTCACTTAACGATCTGTCGCGAGTAACCGTAATAAGGAGCTTCCGGATATCTAATTAGCGATAGTTCCGGAACGGTATTCTATATAAATCCTACTAGTAATTAGTGCTATACGGATTAGTATTCTAGAAATTTTAAGGCAGCTATTCCTATAAGAAGTTAGAGTAAGTAAGCGTGTCTACGAATTTTTAAGACGAGTTCCTAATATACGAGATAGTAGTACACTCTATAACTAGTATAAGCCCAAATCCGGCTAATACTTATAAACGCCCCTATATAGGCTAGGTAGAGGGTAGGGGTAGGCAAACTAACTAGCAATTAAGGCTAGTCTGGTCTAGTCTGGTCTTCGGAACCCGCCTAAAGTTATAACTACTTGCGAAACGTAGGCATTTGGGGCGCAGCGTAGATTGCTTAGTATGTATGCGTAGTTCTACGGATCGGATGCGGCCTCGTAGGGTGTTCGCTTTTGCTTATCGCTAATAATAATCCGCATCTCAAACTTCTTTAGATGATATATGATCTTGTCGAGGAATGCTAGCGACGGGAGGTATTCACTTGCCAAGCACGCTCCCTTCTTTCGTTCTAGCGTGAACAGGGTACCCCTCCCCCTCCCCCTTAGGTACGCGTTGCGATGCAGTACACTTCTCCGACCCTTCAAGACCAAGAATAGAAGATGCGGATTCCAGACCTCAAACAGCACCGCAGACACAGAACAATGTCTACGGGGGTCCTATCTATGCCAACAGTGCTCATGTGAATCCGCCCGCGATGCCGGCAACACCACCACCACCTTACCATCCGTACCTGAACTCGTACGATTATGGTGAACAGCCCAGCAGAGCCTTCTATCTGCAGCCGTATCAGAGTCAGCAGTATTTGCCTCCACCTCCGGCGAACAGCAGACTGAGGAAGAAGGCTTCTGCGTGGATGTCGACGGCGGATCTATCGCGGCCGCAGAGGAATGAGATATATGGGCATGGACAACAGCAGCCATGGCAGAGCAGCGTGAATTTCGCAGCTCCTCCACTACCGCAGCGATCTACAGCGAGCAATGATTGTCCTTTGGTGCAGCTGGTTCAAACGGTAAACCAAGGCGCTGCGATGTGCGACAGACTGGCATCTGTAGCCGCCATCGTAAGCGAAGTTTTCGCAAAAATCGATCTCGAAGAGGATGGCAGCGATGGCGAACTGGAGAAAATGACGAACCACATGAGCGTGGATGAAAGAAAGGTTAATGATAAAGCACTGGGAAGCGGCTGGGTGGATTTCAGAAAGACGTGGTTGTATGCCAACTCGCGACTCCCTCCAGCCATGTTGCCGATGAAAATATATATGCCAACCTGGCAGATCATCTGCATGGCTGCTCAGGCTTCGGTAGATGTGTATCGGAGGCCGAGACGTGATGAGAAGGAGGATTTCGTTCAGGCGGACTGGAGGCAGGGGACAAAAGCTATGGCGATCAAGAGTAGGCAGCTTGAGGATAAGAATCTGATCGTTCTCGCCATTCGAGGGAGCAAGACCTGGAATGCGATAGATTGGCTGGTCAACTTCAATGCTGCTCCAACTGAGCCTACGGGCTTTCTGGATGACGAAGGAAATGCTTGTCATGCCGGCTTCCTGCAAATCGCTAGATCAATGATCGCACCCGTGGCTGCTCGATTGCGGAAGCTTCTTGAAGAGAACAATTCCCGAAACCCTCCATCTCTAATTCTGACGGGGCATTCGGCCGGCGGAGCTGTGGCATCTCTGCTGTATATGCACATGCTCGCCACCGCCCCTCGCTGCGAATCACAGCTGAACAACCTCTCCGGCTTCCTCAAAAGAATCCACTGCGTCACGTTCGGAACTCCTCCAGTCTCCTTATTACCATTGCAAAACCCAGCCGGCAAACGCTACGAACGTAACGTCTTCATGCATTTCGCCAACGAAGGAGACGTCGTCGTCCGCGCAGATCGATCATATATGAGCACAATCGTGCGACTCGTCGCCGCTCCTTCCCCCGTCTGTTCAACAAAAATCTGCGCATCGCTTCGCAAGAAAGTTTCCAAACAAGTTTTGAGCAGTTCTGGGTATCGGCCTGGGGACAAGTACCAACCGCCCAGATGGGAAGTTCCTCCTGCGACGCTTTCGAATGCGGGTCGCACGATTATGTTGAGGGAGAAGCCTGGGAGTCGGAAGCATGCTGTCGAGGCTGTTCAGGTCACGGATGAGGATTTACGGGATGTGGTTTTTGGGGATCCCGAGATGCATAAGATGGAGTTGTATAAGAAGAGGATTGATACGCTGGCGATAGCTGCTGTTACTGGGCAGGGTGTCGGGTGAAGTGTGAATTCAAATGGAGCATAGACCAAGAGAGAGATCAGGCAGCAGTCGCCATGCATGTGATGATTGATGCACAGCTTCGAAGGTCGAAGTGAGGTCGCGCCGCGCCGCGTCGCGCAGTTGATGGAGGTGTCAGGCAAGAGACTTGCGCCAATGATTGAAGAAGCACGGCTTAATGTATAATGACCATATTCGAGATACCCAATAGGCTAATACACGTCCTTAGCAAAGCAGCACATCCTTCCAGATTCGAGGTGAATCTAGTTCATGCCGGGCTGGCTGTTAAACCTTTCACCGGTCAGAAAAACAAAAACAAAAAGTGAAGGAAACATCTCTCTCGCGCAAAAGCTTCACTTCGGACAATAAGCTTGCTGCACACTTGCAACTTTCTAGCTCCTTCTTCCACCTCCACTTCCACCGACACTGCAACTTCAACCCCTTCAACAACCTCGCGACGCACCTACACATCGCACGCAACTCCAACACAACCATGAACACACCAGCCATGGACGCCACCCCAGACACCGACCTCCCCCCACCACCACCACCACCAGGCCCCCCACCACCACCAGTCACCACCGACGACGACCCCCCACAACCCCAACCTTCCTCCTCAATCACAATCACCTTCCGCGACCACCGCGGTTTCGAACAAAGCTTCAAATTGAAGACCAGCACCAAGATGGGTAAAGCTATGGTAAGTAAGAATCGATACCACCTCCAAAATCAAGATTGAGAATTTTTTTTCTTTTCGTGAGCTGATTTGTGTGTGCAGGATGCTTTTAGCGCAAAAGTCGAGCGTGATCGGAAAGCTTTGAGGTTTTTGTTTGATGGGGAGAGGGTTTTGGATGGGAGTAGTGTTGGGGAGGTGAGTAACTACGAGAAGGTGGTGTGGGATGGGGGGGTTTTTGGTGGTGGTGATTATGATGATGATGATGATGCTGACTTTTTTTTTGTACAGTTGGGTATGGAGGATGGGGATACGGTTGATGTTTTGGAGGAGCAGATTGGTGGTGAGGGTGAGGAGGATTAGGAGATGATGGGGATGGGAGAGGAAGGGATGGGAGGTGGGAAGGAAGGAGTGAGGGAGAGATTTTGCCGCAGATTGATTGAGAGCGGCGCGACTCACAGTAGCACGTACGAGGACGAGAAAGGTCTGCGAAGGAACCGAACGAAGTTCTCCTGAAATGAAAAGGGGGATTTGAATCAGGATGGACAACAGGATTCGGTCTATCTGAAGAATGAAGGTGATGACTTGCTTCGAGCTCTATCTTTCGCCTTTGCTGAGCGGTATTCTCGGCGATGCTTTCACCTGGAACTCAATGAATGCTTGTGTCCGCAAGACATCATACCCAAGGTCTCAAGAATCTTTCATGTCTTTCCATTCTTCCGGCCCTCTAGTGATGGTAGTTAGATTAGCAGTCGTTGCAGGTAATCATACGCGGTTTGTCAGCATGGGCACTCCAATCTGTCTTCTTGCAGAAGGCGCAGATGGGCGGTCAAGCCACATTGATTGTTGTGAGGGAGCAGATTGGTGGTGATGGGGACTAGGCTGGGATTACGTGCAGGGCGCCAGACGAGTGGGCGAGAGAGATTGCACCATGAGGCGAACTTATAGTACTGTATCTTGAGCATGATTGCGGATAGGCAGGCTACTCGATGCGCTTATATAGCGCTGCAATTTCTGCGCTTTGAAACAGACTCGCCTCTCCTCCTTTCATCTGCGCAATGGATTCCTATAGTCAATCGACAAATGCCAACGCCTTAGTTATAAGTAGTCGTCGCTACACCAATAGCACAGAGCGAGAGGCGTCGTCGTGTCATGGTCTTTGCAATTTGTCTTCTTACATTCCATGCATCGGTGCTCTAGGTAGCGGCTCTCCATCTCGTAGCCGCACTCCGCGCATGCTGTTTCCAAGACCTCCCAACGTGGGTGATAACACCAGAGACCATCGTCCGCATCGATCTTCTCTAACAGAGATGACTTGACAGGCTTGCGGTATCGTGGGAAGTCTCCTTTGGCAGACTTGTGGAACTGAGCTTCCGAGGCATGCATTGCTCTGACAAGGCCATGGCAATTGGCAGCGCAGTATTCAATGTCCAGCGGCTCCTTGTTTTCCAGAGTATCGACAACGTAGTCTGCGATCATGTTTCGAAGGGTGGACTCTTCAGGCAGTGCTTGCCAGGCTGATGCCAGCGCCACAGCAGACAATTTATCGGGCGCCGATTCGTCGAAGGCGCATCTGGCGTCGTAGAGCATCAGACAAGCTCGTAGCATGGCGCAGTTCTTCAGGTCAGGCAACAGATACTTGTCGGCAAAAGTCCAGACGCTGCTGCATTGGACGAAGCTCTGTAATCTGATTTCAATGTTTATGCCCTCGTTCGCTTCCTCGTAGGCGATGCTGCCATAAAAGAGGAAGTAAAGGAATATTCCAAAGTCTTCTAGGCGATCTTCTAGTATATCGATGGTGGATGTACGACTTTCCTTGAAGCGCTCATCTACAAGTATTAGCAGGATTGATATGATGTGGATCACCCGTGATACCTTTCAGTGCCGCCTCGAACCATGGCGATGCACCGCGCAAGATACCTCTCGGCACCTTGTATTCCTTCGAAGTACCCTCTGGTCCAACCTTGACGGTCACAAGCTCAGTTGCGAAATCCCTGTGTCGCCGATTAGGTTATCCTGTAGTGAAGAAAAGCATGCACACGCTCTTACTCAAGGAAGCGCTCCATGGGCGGCGCCATTGTTGCTGGATGAGCGGCGGGTCTGTCAGGCGTGAAGGTAGTGCAGGCGCGGATTTTGATGATGACAGTTCAGTAGATAGGAATGATTTTAAACGATGTTGCACAAAGTTAGTTCCGGCAGGAACGGGCGCTAGGAAGGATCCGCGGCGTGCCCGCATGTGAAAGTGGAAGTGAAGGCAAGAGCCACGGCAGGTGCGTCTCGCTGCTCAGCGAAATTCCACTCTCTGCTCCTCTGTCCATCCACTCCTTTGTAGTACGTATGGACCAATCTCTTATCATCTCCCATCTTCGAATCTCTCAATCCGCATACGGTGCGCAATCTTCGCACAGCTGAACAACGCCCTCCCCCATCCACATCGAAAATCCAACCTTTCACACATCCGCACCATTATTTCGATTCCTAGCATCGATCATTCCACAGAATTCGCAGATCAAGCTAACCTCGTCCCAAGTGCTCCGGCATCCAGAAAGTTCGTTTCGGTTGCAAGAAGTGACGAGAATTTCTTCAGCTTTCTGAAAGGCGGGAAGTCCTTCGAATGGTGCCCAGCCTCGTGAAGAGCTTTTTCGTGCACATCGTCATGCTCCATTCTGTCAACAATGTATATAGTTCTAGCCGGCGATGACGAGTCTTGCAGGCGAATGATCGCAGGATGTGCGCCAACACGCGGTCAGGGTATCAGACTCAGGAGTTGTTTTGTAGCAGGAATCCAGAATTTCTTTTAGAGTCTTCACCTTATCTTATCCAACGAAGATGATGGTAAAAGTCTTGGACTAGACCTCTTGTCAGCGCCATCCATATCTCCAAGAGTAGGAGAGACTTACCTTACTCCAGTGAGATTGATGTGGGCGAGTGAATCAACCACTCGCTGCTGATAGAGAGACAGCCTAAGATGTTCTGACACTCATGCAAAGTAAGTCCCATTCGCAAGTGAAGTGAAAGCAAGAACGAAAAGCCAATTCCTCACATCCGATCCGATAATCTCATCTCAAGCGTTGCACGTCACACACACGCTCTCCATTCATTCCTTTTATGAGCTATAATACACTTCATACAATAATGCTACTTCGTTACGTTAATGCCTGCCTGCCTGCCTGCCTCTACGCTCGCTCAAAAAAGCAAAAAGAAGGCATGAACGCTAAAATTTTCAGGTGAGGAGTCGCTAGCCAGATACTCATCTACAGCAGTCTCATCTCATCTATAAAGCATTCCATCTCCTCGTCCTGAAAAGGCCGCCAGACATGCGGTGCTTGCACCAGGTACCACAAGGGCTCAGACGTGCGATTTCAAAGTCATGCATGAGCTGTCCGACTTTGGCCAGTGGCAGCCTCATCTCAGAACAGGCAGAGTTCGTGCCTGAGAATTGGATGAGGTCTTTCCAGCGCTCGTGGTAATCTTCATCGTCGTACTTGCTGTAGCTGAAACCTGAGATCACGGAGTCGACCTCTGTGGCGTCAAGAGATTCTTCGTCTTCTTCAGACAAATGTGCGCGGCTGACCTTCAGCTTCATCGCAGCTACACCTTCGTTGCGGAGATCGTCGTTACCGGCCCAAAGCAGGCTCGCCAGGTTGCGCACTGGACGCCGCGCGTAAGTGCTTGATACAAAGCCTCGCTGTTTGTAGAGAGTTTGATAGCGATGGTTGCGCTGAAGTTGAAACCCAAAAGGCTTCAATATCAATGGATACTGGATGGTTGAGGTTCGGGGAAGAGCAATAGACGCCTTCTATCCGCCCCCGCCCCCATTGCTCTTCTTTTCTTCTTCGCCACCAGTGTTCTCCCGATCGCCTGAACTCTCTACGGGCTTGATGGCGTATCGTCCAGGATTGGTCGCACCCTCGTTCTTGACCTTGAGGCTACCTTTCCGCCTAAGAGTGTTACCATGATCTGGAGCTCCAACTGATGGAGCTTGTGGCATGTTGGTGTTGGCTTCGACGTTGGTGTCCATCTTTTGTTCATCCAGATCACCTGGATTAGGCAGACTCTCCATCGGCAGTCCTAATGTCGTCCCATCCAATTGACTTGCGAGCAGACCAGTCTTACGGTGATTAGAGGAAGCCGAGCTGTTGCGCCGCTTCACCCCACCGCCCATCAGCTTTCCAAGCTCATCATCGTCCTCATCTTCCTCTCTTCTTCGCTTCACAGTAATAGGTTCAGGCGGTGAACCATCCACAGCCGTGCGCTCTCTACTTCGCCCTCTCCTTTCGCCAGGCGAGTCAGTGGAAGTATCTGGGTCAGAAGAGGCACTGCTCCTCTTTTCCTTCGAGAGGTCAGGGCTAGAGGCAAGAATATCCATGTCGTCGTCATCGTCATCATCGGGGTAGTTGACTAATGGCTTCAATGGGCTGGCATGTCCGTTAGGCAAGCCCAGTCGGCCCGGAGTCGCTGTGGTTGGTAGTCCTTCATCGTCATCACCAAGGTCGGCATCGAGATCATCATCAGTGTTGAAGTATGCATCCTCATCTGGGTCTGGCTCTTTCAAGCCACTGAACACTTGCCGTCCATTCAGCACCCGGCCTCTGAACGCATCCGGCGTGTCTGGCTCAGTTGTAAAACTAGTATCGCCCTCGCCATTGATCGGCTGGTATGGACTCTGATACTGATCGTACTTCTGCACGATGCCCTGAAATGTATTGACGTACGTGATCCCCATTAGCCGTTCCCGATACGTCTCAGCCAGATGATATATGAGCTGTTTGATGTTCTCCCGCTTGATGTATTCGAAAAGCTCCAGACAGGCGCTGTTGAGCAAATTGTCGCGAGGCATCGTCTCGTACACAATGTTGAGGATTGGCTCAAACAGCCGATGCTGTATGAGCTGTCTGTTGTGGAATTCGTCCTGCAGAGCAATGCATGTCCGGAACCATTTGAGCGCAATAAGCTTCATATACTTTTGCGGACACATTAGGAGCTGTGCGACCCTGGAATGGAGATTTTCGGAGAGAATGAAGAGCTTGCTTTGGTAGGCGTGTTGTCGCACGAAGAAGCTGAGAACTTCGACCAGGTGCGTGTATAAGCTCGTCTCTTGCACACTCAGACCGGTCATGCTTTGTCGACCTTCTAGATCCTTCAAAGGCTGGAAAAGGCGCCTCGCGCCGTCTTCATAGAAATTTTGAATGAACTGGCTGGTGTGCGGCGGGAATCCTCTATGTCCTGGATGACCTGCATCTCCACCAATGCCGCGCTTAGCGAGCATCTCAGCATTGCCCTGGCGATTCATAATCTCCATACCGGCGTTCACAGAGGCTGGTTCGAGGAGAATCTTAATCGCGTCGGCCATTTGACTCTTGACGCCCAAGTCGACTTCGACAAGGAGTAGCTCAATTATGGTGTCTGTAAGAGGGGTGGTCTTCTCGTTGACGGCCTTGATGATGTGGTTCCTGACCAGATGCGCGTCGTGGTCGATCAACGATACCAACACATCCGTACCCGCCACGCGCACAGATGCGTCGTGATGGCGCAGTGCGAAAGTGATCACATTAAACAGACCGTGGTGAATGAAATTTTGATAGAGCTGGTTCCTTGACGCTGCTTGGATGTTCTTCGCCACTGCACAGCAGTTCTGAATGAATAAGACGGCGTCCTTTTTCCGCTTATCGTCTGCCTCACTATTCGTGAAGATGCTGAAAAGCTCTTTGAGAAAGTTCTGGTTGGACTGGAGATGATTGACAATGTCAACCTGGTGGAAAAATATAAGAGAGTTCAGCACGGAAAACGTAGGATCGTCGAGAATGCGCGCCAGAACCACGTCTTTCAAGTAGAGAAGACGGTACGTGCAGTGGATCTTCTTCTTGATCTCGATGTGATCAATCTTGACGACTTCCTTGAATTTAGAGGTGTCGGAAAGGTATTGGCGATGGTTGGCACGATGTGAAGGGAAATCAGGGTCATCTAAAACTCAGTCAGCGCAAACATCCAAACAACGTACCTGGTAGCGTGCTTACATTCAAGCGCGCCAACGACACCCATAATTGCTTGGTCGGTCACGATGAACTCAATTATGGAGGTGTCGTTGAGTAATATGATGTGCTTCAGGATGGTGCATAATCGGTGGAGCTCCTGCGTCAGTTCTTGCTCTTCGGCCTGCTCGACCAGCGGCGCAAGCTTCAAAATGTACATCTGTTCCGGGCTCATGATGAATTTGGACAGCGCATCCCGACCAGCTGGCGTTGCCGAAGCGGTCCGTATCGCATCCACCACTTCCTCCAATCTTCCCAAAACCGGATCGGGAAGTGTTATTGGATGCACGGGATCCAGTAGATCATCTGAAATGCCGTCCTCGGGCACAAGACGCGATTGGATGTCACTCACGAATTCCCATATTGTCGCGCAACCTTCGGCCTCCTGGAAACTCAGGGCCATATCCACGCCATTGCTCTCGGTCCACACGATCAGCGTCTCCTGCTGTTTCTGGTAGCCATCGTCCTTGGCTATGCGCGTCTCGAGCAATGTGCGTATGGGCTCGTCCTCGCTGGTGACTACTATGCCCGCATCAAGCTGTTCAGGCGGCGCGTCGGGTGCGCTGAAGACGCTGCCCACGCAAAACCCAGTACCGCGATCATACCAGTCATTATTCTTCAGCTCGTACACCTTCACGCGCTTCTTGTCCTGGTTCGCAGGAGCGAGCGCCATGTTCGCAACTGCTGTCACCGCCCCGCCAGCTCATCCGTGACGGGTTTCTAAAATTATGCGCCGGGTGGTGGTGGTGTGGTGTGGAGACCGGGCGCGACCCAAGTGCAGACTTTTCCTGCGATCCCGGTCGGCCAGCAGCGGAGCGCGTCGCAGTGGCGGTGCGGTGCGGTGCGCGCACGTTCGGTTCGGTGAGGCAATGGGGTGTTTATGCGGCGAAGGTTGGTTTTCGATACCGGTATGCGACTCGGAACAAGTCGGCGTGCTTCGCTGAAAGTGGATCTGGCCTGGCCTGCCCGGCCCTTCCCTGCCGTGCCCTTGCTCGTCCCAGACTTCGGCCGCGCAGAAACAAGCACGGCGTCGCCGGGAGGCTCTGTGCTGTGGATATGCGCTGTCGCGTGGGTGCTATAGTAGTAGTGTTGGCCAAAAATCAATGTGAGGCGTATGAGGTGTTGTTGAGCGAGGGCGATGGCAGAGTTTGGAGATCGACGGTGACGAAGGGTCAGTCCGTTCGGTGGCGCTTGCGCAACTTGCGTTTCAGGTCTCGCCTCGCACTTGCACTCGCCGAGACGTCCTCTGTGAAGACCCTTGGTCAGCCTTGTCAGATCTGTTGTTGAAGACCACAAATTGGCCCAGATACATGTAATTCCAAGACCAGGCTGTGGGGCAGGACAACAGGATGTGTATGCGCAATCTCACAAATGACGTGTTTCTATTTTTTGCCATCTCATCGGCAAGTGGAGAAGGGAGGAGTATCATAGAGGCACGACGTGTTCTGAGCCATACGAGAGCAAGGAAACGACATCCAGCATCAGTTTCGTGTGCTAGGTAGACATACAGTATCACATTGATCATAGCTCATTCATGCTTCCAAAATTCCACATCTACCGCTCGAAAGACGTCAACCAGCATACCCAACCCAACCCACTCAAGCGCGAACAAACATAACACCATTGCCCATGATAATGACTCTGCGATCAAGGTACTACCTCAACTTGATCTCAGGCCACTCAGGTCTCGTCGCAGCATCCCCATACTTCGCCTGCCAAGCAAAGAAATACATCAAAGCAGCAAGCGGTTGCCCAAAGATACAGAAGGTGAGCCAGAATATCAGATTCCCGGCCAGCTTCGCATTCCGCCCCTTGCCAAAGACTCTCTTGATCATGTCCGTCAAGAAAATCAATGGGATCTGGCCCACCATGCCGAAGAACGCTACCCAAAGGATATTATGGGTAGGTACGCCGACCAGCATTTCGTGGAGGACACCGGAGAACAAGAAGGTGAGGATTTGCGCGACTGGAGATGGTACTCCTCGATTGACCATTGGTGCGTAGACGTGTCGTTTCATGAAGTGCGTGACTGGCTTGTTCCAAGAAGTCCAGTATGATCGAATGTCTGACACATTCCACCAATCCCCGTAGAACTCACGATCGCCGAATCTGGTAATCTCAGCCAGCAGGTTCAGGAAGGACTGGAATAGTGCGAAGAATCCTGCGAGCCAGCATACCAGACTGATCGTGCTCAGCTTCATGACTCTTTCCAGAATGTTGAAGCCGCGCAGCTTCGAGATGTCATCTACAGAGTTGTGCAGCAAAGGGACTGCATACTGAGCGCATGTGATCCAGATAACAACGCAGAGGAAGAAGAACTCGGCCGCACGCTTTGCAACAAAGTCCCACCTTCTCTTGGTCGTTCGTGGATATACCGGCTGATACACAAGAGTGGGCGCCCACCAGAAATAGGACAAATTTTTGAAGTTGATGTTGCTCGGATACGGACAGCTTCTGTATAGCGCCGGTAGAGATGCATTCGGGTCGGAATGAAGGTATGCCTCTCGGAGGTCGCGGTTCGTAAGAGCATAGCTGCACGCCTTAAGCCAGACCACGACAGCATGCAGCTCTGTGATCGTGCCTAGTCCAGGATTGTGGATGTGGAAGTATGTGATATAGCTTGCAAACAGCAGCATGAATGTAGCATTGAGTGCGTGACTGATGGCGATTACTCGCCAGGTCGAGAACCAGATCCTGTATGTTTGCCTGTCATCCGCGAGGATGCGCTCCCTCTGGTCTTCGCCCTCTCTCTTGATTTGTGCAGTAATATTCTTCGCGAATCGTGCTGCCGCCTGCTCAATCCCGAATGCGAGCCATAAATGACACGGCGTGAGGGCGTACAGTATCCAAAACCACATCCAATCCCCTTCCCGGACTTTGGCGCCCGAAAGTGTCACAAGTATTCCATACTTTCTAAAATTGTCCATCATAAGCCGCACATTCGAAATAGCAATGACCAGTCCCATCAAGTTCCTAAATCCGAGCGAGGAGGGAGAGGTCGTGGCATCTTGGCTGAACAGGCTTGGCCGGGCTTGAGCGTGTACAGCGAAGGTGTGTTTATATTCCTTCGATGCTCGGACGTCGACTGGGCGATCTTCTGTGATATGTCGCACTTCTTGAGAAGATGATAAATGGCCGTTAGGTGGTGTTGCGTGTGCATTGGCATCGGCGTTGCGAAGGTCGGGCCTGGCTTGCTGTCGACGAAGGCTGCCATTGAGTTGTCGGCTGGGACTCTCCCTTCCCACGTCGTCATCAAATTGCACCGAAGTCGAAGTCGCCATCGTTTGCGAAGCCATCATGGATTTTTGTGTAGCGAGCACTCCCCGTCGCAGGTTCACACAAGCTCTTCAATCTCGCCAAGCTGGCGAGTCGTCACCTCCTGGAAATGTCAGGAATGCCGGAAGTCTCGATGGGATCCGCGGTCTCTCCTGACATTCAGGGTTGCTGCAACATTTGCAAGATTCATAGAACGGGAGGATATTGATAACGAAGTCATTGTGGCGGGATGTTGGATCCTCAAAATCAGGATACCTCCGCTCCCAGAAAATGGTTGGGACTCTCGTAAACACTTACGATGGGGCTGACGTAGTATTGGGATCGTGGAGAAAGCGGTTCTTCAGGGTTCAAATGCAAGTCAGTGAAGTGGAGTGCAGAAGCAATCTATTTTCGTACGCTAGTTTCACGACAACATGTGACAGTAAAACAATTGTGAAGCTGTCGATATTCGGAACTCGTTCACTGATCCCATCTTGGCAAAGAAATGTGAGAAAAGAATGTTCGGGCTTGGAGGCTCGATAGAATACCTTGCCAAAACCAACCAGCATATCTCCCGCAAGAGAATGAACAAGGTTGATCGCGTTATCCTCAGACCACCTAGTTGGGCAAACCGTATAATACCTAGGGATGTTGGAATACAGCTTTCTGTAAATGCAGGCTCTATACACTATATAATACACTAGTAGACACTAGTATATATATATCGGCCCTATCCGGATACTAGGATATTTAAGGATTATCGAGTAGCCTAGCTAGCTATAGGTAGGATATTAGCGTATCTAATAACTCCTCCTTATATATAGATACTAGCTAAATTTTCCGCCCCTATATATATAGTATATTATAGAGCGTATATATATAGCTCTATTACTAATAATACCTAAAGCGCTAGGATACGCTACGCTAGTAAGTTCCTACTATAGGCTTAGACGGATCTTTATTTGTCTAAGAAATACTACGTATCTCTAGTAGCGCTAATAGTAAGAGCTTAGAATAGAACAAACTATAAGCGGCAAGATATAAAGAGTAAATCGAAAGCTAACGAATAATCGTAAAAGGTATAAGAAGGGTTATATTAGCAGGTAGATAGCGTAGTAGTGAATTAGTATAGTATTCGATAGAGATCTAAGAGGAGAGGGAGGAAGGCAGGCTAGTTAGCCTAACGCTAAGCGCTAAGTCCTGCCTAAGGCATCGAGACCCTAGCTTTACTCGAGCCCGGTTACATACTAATTACGTATAACCTCTTTAGTCCTAATATACGCTTCCCTTCTAAAGGCCGCGCCCTCGTAGCCGGTCTTTATTCTAGTCTTAACCTCTATTGCTGCTAACTTAGTAGGCCTAATAAGCCGCTTAGTCTGCGCTAAATTAAACGCACAACTACCGATTATGTAACTATATCAAACCTTACCTTCTAATACAATGTCTAACTCTAACTACGCTATCCTTGTATACAATGAAGTAATATATAACTATAAGAATTAAGGACTATCGACTAATTACAATACGAGCGTACCTTCCCTACTATAATAGGTAGGTATACGGGGTATTGCAGTACTGCCCCCGTTCTAAGTAATGTCGTACCGAGTTCTCTGCGTCTACTTTTAAAAGACCTAGAAATGTCCGCTCCGAGGGTTTATCCGTTCCGAGGGTTGTTCTTATTATTACGAGGGCTATTACTGTTCGTAGTTTCGCTAGCCCTAATTAGTTAGGTTTAGTAGCCTTTAAGTGTTAACTAATTACATCTTTTTAAAAAACTCAGTTCTTCTAGTTTCTATAGGTAAAGGCTATTATAAGTGCAGTAGTAGAGGTTCGCCTCGCTTAAAGGGTTAGATAGATCGAGGAGTAACCTATTGTCCGCAAGATCGACCCCGGCTAGCTTAGCTCTATAGTTTTGCCCTTAGTTAGTCTATTAGTCGCTTAATCTTTTGTCTTAGTTAAAGTTTTGACTTAGCCTTAAAGTTTTAATTAAACCTTTAACAGGCTTAAGGCTTTAATTAAAGTTTTAATTAAGGGTGCCTTAGGCTCGTAGTATAGGTAAGGTTATATCTATAGGCGCAGCGACAATAGCAAGTAATGTTAATAATAGCAGCGCTAGTCGTCTTAGCGCTAACTTTACCTTGCTTTCGATTTCCTTCTTCGACTAATAATACACTCCGCAACACCGTTACTAATATAGCCGCGCTAGCTATCTTCTAATATACCGCTATTCGTACGCGCGCGCGCGTATTCTCGTCGATTACCTAGGCCTCGAGGCCTCGGTAGGATAAAGGAACAAGAGGTAGAGTCTTTAAAAGAGTAGTAACTAATTAACGCGTCGTAGCGCGCTTGTTAACACTCGGTGCGCGTTTACTATAGTAGTATAGTCTTATTGTCTCTTATTGCTAACAATTGCTTGCAGCTAATTAGTTAGCTAATAGCACCCCGGGGGTAGCATTAATCCTAGGCCTTAATAGTAACATTATAAGCTTTTAGCCTTCTTCTTGTCCTTTACGCTAGTCTAATACTTATCTAATAACTCGGTTATGTCCTTAAAGGAACCTTTAGCTTCCTATAAGTCCTATTTAGGTAAATAGCCTTGCTATCTTAATAGGTACTCCTTCTTGCCCTACCTAGTCCGATGCTTTAGGATACGTTCTATAGACTATAGCTCTTCGCTATTAGCTAGTATGTCCTCGGATTTAGTAGGTACTTCATCCCCTTCGCGTAGGTAGTACGGCTTAAGGAGGGACACATAGAAGGTGTTATAGATAGTGTAATAAGGTAGAAGCTATAACTAATAGGCCTAGTATTAGCTAGTAACCGGCTCTATACCTATAGGCTAGTTTTGAGCCTATATAAGAGGCCTCCTTCTACATTATAGATAGAGCATCAACCTCGTATAGCACATTGTTTATGTTACACTTCTATAATGCCTATATTGCAGGGCTCTAGTTATTAGCCTAAGCGACAGTCTCGTTATCCTATCTTGCTAAATATAGCTGCCTATATTGCTATAGGTTATATTACCCTCGGTAGCCTATACTATTGCTACAAGTAGTAGTAGTAGTATTAGTTTCCGTCCTTTATTAGAGCCGAAGGTAGGGCTATCTCTTTATATCTAACAGGTTCGGGTATGTTAAAGGTAGTCTCTAGGCACGAATAGCTATAACCGAAGCGAGGGTACGATAAGAGCCTACGATATAGACGATACCGAAGTATCTTAAGGGGCCGTTACGACAAGTAGAGAAACCTCTTAACGAGGGCATCGCTTTAACCCCGAAAAGCTACAAACCCTTAGGACTGTTATAGCTTAGGGCCTAGTCTATAACTATAGCTAGCTTCTAAGGACTCGGCTCCGGGTCGAAGACCTATTTAGTACCGCTTGCTCGAGATAAGCTACCGCCCGCCTAAGGAGGAGATAGACTAATTACCTATCGGCCTTACTTAGTTTGCTAAGACTATCTATACGATAGCAATTTCTAGATTATAGGTCGGATACCTAGACAGTTCCCCTATTAACCGGGTAGATTGTTTCGGGATTCGCTGCCTCGTTCGGATAGTGCTTAGCCTTCTACTAGAAAAAGAAGGTCCCCGCCCCCCCCGCCTAGCTAAAGGAGATACGAGCTAGTTTCTAGGATCTAGGTGTAAATAGAGATTGTAGTCTCTCCCTCCGAGCGGCTTTCGTCTAATACTAAACTTAGCTCCTAGGGATATATAGGCGACCCCTAGGAGGCTAAATTCTAATGCTACCCCGGGGGTAATATTAGAAGAAAACAGCCTAGTATACTATTCTCTCGTATAGCAATATCGAAACAAACTAAACCTATAACATACACTAAAAACACTTTCCTATAGCATTTTATTTTAACTACTTTACGATAATCGAATAAGCTCTAGCTCTAGCGAAAACGAGCATTACGAATTAGCGGAATCTTCGGAATCTAATAACCTACCGGACCCTATTAACGAAGAAATTAGGCGACGACTAGTTATACTAAGCGCCGTCGAACTAGGGGCTATCGAGCCTTCTATGCCCGAGGCCCTCTATAATATCGTTATAAAGATAATTTAAGGGCAAACTAACCTTCTCCGTTAGAACAGGCGTCGCCCGCTAGAGCTAGGAAGCAGTAAGAACCCTTTGTTCGAAGGGTAGAACGCTACGGCGTACGTAGAACGCTTTAAGGACAACTTAGCCGAGTACGGACTCGAAGAGGAGTCGGACTAGTACAAGGTCCGGTCCCTTATAAGGACTACTATTACTAAGCTTTACCGAACCCTTAGAACCCTAGTTAGCTACCTAGAAAAGGACGACAAGTCTAATGCCGACTAGGAGGTCTTTAAACAGGCCTTTATAAGGGAGTATTAGGATCGCGATAGCCGTCGTATTAAAGGCAGTCGTACGTAGCTTAAGAACCTCTATATAGAGAGGCGTACCGAAGATAACGACCTAAAGGAGTACGTCCGCGAGTTTGTTAAGTTAGCGGACAGCATCGACTAGTAGGACCTCGAGAATTCTTAGAGAACGAGGCTGCTCCTTAAAGGGTTGCCGTAGTCTATAGCTAAGCGTGTCTTCCGTCGCTATAAGCTTAGCGAAGCCAATCCTAAGACCTTTAGGAAGTATAAAGAGGTCCTAGAGGCTATTAAGGACGACATTAATAGCTCCGCCGATATAAAGAAGTTCATTTACGGCGAGGACCGGAATAACCTAGCCTAGGTAAGGAACGATGCCTCGGGAACTAGAGGGCCTAAGTTTCTTCCTAAATCGCAAAGTAGTCCTAGTACCGTAACTCCTACCGTTACTAAGCATTCTTAGGACGTTGCGGACTTAGCTGAATCCCTAGCCTAGCTTAACCTTAATACGAAAGCACTATAGCGAGTTAGGGAGGTTATTAATACTAGCATACTAAAGGATGTGCTACCGGTCTACTAGATTTCCGATCCTAACTACCCTAAGGCCCCTTTAGTTAACGTCTACGCTATACGAAAGATCTATTCTAACTTAGATAGCAAGTGCTAGATATACGGCGGTTTTAAACATGTTTAATTAGACTGCCCTATCTAGAAAGAGCTTCTTAAGAGGAAGCTCGTTATACAAGTAAATAGTCGGTTCTACTATACCGACACCGGCGATAAGATTAACTTCGAGTAGGATCGTAGAGCTCCGAAGCTACCTCAACTTAGGAGTCTTCTAGAGAAGAAGTATAGTAGCAAGATCGAGTTTAAGGACACTAGGAACAGTACC